CATGAGTAGTGCTGCAAACAAGAGTTTGCTACCTGGTCTGTAGACTAAAAGTGCCAATGATAGAGCTGTTGACTCTCAATGTGAATATTGCTGGATCAAATTCTGACCAGGGAACTTTCTGGGTACATCAAAATGTCCCCATGCATCTCAATAATCCAGGTAGAAAAATCTAACAAATTTGAGTAAGGTTCTCTGGACAGGTTCTTCTTCGTTGAAACATTTAGTTTCTTCTCCAAGAGACTTCTTCAGACTGGAGGACTTGACTCAGTTTTGTTTGATTTCTGGATAGAGTTTGCATGTTCTCTCCATGTATGCGAGGGTTTTTTCCCCCACAGACCAAAACCACGCATATTAATTTGTAACTCTAAATTATCCCTAGGTGTGAGTGAGAGAGTGAATGATTATCTGTCTCATTCGTCTCTGTGTGTGTCCCTGTGATGGACTTGTGATCTGTCCAGTGTGTACCCCGCCCTTCACACAGTCACTGCTGGATTCGGCACCAATGACTCCTGTGACACAGAAAGAAAAACACAGGTAAAAATAATGGATGGATGGAACATGGCACTCAACCATTTTCATTGATTGTTGGTCTTCATGAGTCCATCATCAGATCCTGACAACATTTTTTTAGTGTTGGTGCTCCGACAAACTGAGAACGCTCTGCAGCTTTGATGTGTATGACTCTACAAAACTCCACTTAAAAAGAAAATAAAGACAAAGTAATCCTTTCAGCTATTGAAAAAAAATCAAAGCCTAGTTTTGCGTGTAAAATGTAAATGAGCACAGGTAAATGAAAACTGAGCCTCAGTATCTGTGTTGGTAAAGTACCATTTTAAGAAGCCAAGCTCAACAAGTCCAGCAGTAAGACCCAATGAGAGAACAAATGATGCCTTTGCTACAACTCTGAACTGTAACAGTAACAGTAACCTTTAATTATATTTTTCTAATGGACGTTAACTCGATGATGATTAAATGGTTGAACAAGGTACTTTCAAAGCTGTGTAGCAATCTTATTGGATGCTATGTATTTGTGTATTTTCCTGAACGAATAAGGAAGAGTTGGACCAAAAGTGTATTTTGACACGTTGGGAAATTTTGTTCCTTGTTTGCCTTGGTGCAATTGTGAATGGAGTCTGATTAGATGAACAAATACCCAATCAACATTGGTTTTCCAATAAATGTTTATTGCTGTATCTTAATTTCCACGTCCAGGTAGATGATAAAAATGGTCTTGTGGATTTTTGGGTTGAGTCCCATGTTCTGGTTAGCTAGATGTGTCATCATGAGTAAACATTTAAAATGTTACCTTTGACGTAGTGGTATGGGTGAAAGGGAAGAAGGGAGGAACAGTAGTAACAGATTCATTATTTTTATGTTGCAGTCCTCATTTCCTCGAGGGAATCCCAGCAGAGCCTGAATAAATAAACCCAGAAGATTATGTTCAAAGGGAAAAGCAAATGTCCGAGCGATTACTGTAATATTTACTCTACTATAACACTATGCTTTCAAGTTTCCCCATAACCTCCCCAACCTACACTTCCTCGACTGTCATCCCGCGCCTCATTCATTCTCTCCAGCCAGCCCCCAAGAGGCATGAAATTTGAGGAACTTCCATGGTAACATTAAATTAACTCACTGCCCACCACTATCACAGCCCTCATTACCCTCCGCTTCTCCGCTTTGCCCCTTATACCTCAAACTACGTCAGAGAGCAAGTGAGTGTATTAACAGTTCAGGAGGAAAAGGAGAAATAGTGACACACAGGAGGGGGCTGCTGTCGTTGGGCAATAAAATGACGTCCACAACTTTCTCTTTCTCAGAGATGAGTGATGAGAGGAAACCGTCTGCTTGAGCTACTGTATAACTGATGTTGAGTCTTTTCTTCAAAAAAATCCCCGGGGATGTGATTTACAAATCACCGGAGTTAATTGCTCTTTTCCCTTTTCCATGCAAGCAGCCCTCTAGAGACAGATATGACTGTTGTGCATCTGTTGCTTTGCCTTTTTTATTAGTCTGTTAAAAGGAGGACATTAACCAGCATCATTACTGCAGGTTTCCTCCCTTGGCTCGGCTCATGAAGCCATGCAAAGGGCAGGATGCAGGGATGAAAGGGAGCGCGTGAGGCGAAGGTCTCTCCTGGCTGAAGAAAAAAAAAGTTAAAATCAGCTCTCTATTTAGCCAAATTTTACAAGGCTTATTTTGCTTGGAAACCAAACTCTATGGTATGTGACAAAACACAGTGTATGAGTGTACGGATGGATGGGAGTCAGCTGAAATCCGTCCCCCACTTTTTTAAAACTGTTTCTCACCTGCTCATGTTTCCCACTAACTCTCACTGCTCTCCCAGCGAGGAAATCTCTAAATGAACAAACGCAAAGCAATAAGTCGCAGACGGCGTGTGAGACGGAGGAGAGGAGAGAGGGTGGGAAGACTGCTGCTACCCACGCAAAAGGAACTTTTTACTGTGCAAACACTCTTTCCATCTACCCTGTATGCTCCCTCCATCTCAGACTGGTGTTAACACTGGAGAGTCCAGGCTCGTCTCAGAGCTCAGGTTCTCCCTCCCGCTTCATTCTCAGTCGCCCTAAACATTCTTTCCTCTCCTGTCATTGCAGCGTCCTGTCTGCATCCTTCTCTCTGCTCATCCCTTCCTCCTTGTCAAAGCGCTCACTCTCTCGTTTCATTCGTTCAGGTCAAAGTTTGAAATCAAAAAAAGTGAAAGTCTCAATCCTATTTATGGTGCATTCCTCAGCATGCTCAGCAGTTACCCCTGAGACTTGTCCAGCCTCTGACTCTTTGTCTGCCTTGCACCATTTCTGTGGTGAGTGACTCCATCTGTGTATGTCTTTGAGTGATGTGTTCTCTATCAGGGCTGACCGCTGCTCGCCGACGCGCCATGCGTCTGCGTCAGCCACACACTGAGCCCCGTTGTCGTGTTATTCTACGGAAGCGGGGAGCTGCCGACAAACACACGGGAAATGAGGGAGGGGTGTCAGTGTTTGTGTGAGACGAAGGGGGCTCAGTGAGTCCCAAAGGGAGAAAAGATTAAAGACGAGCGGGAAGACCACTTGTGTGATGTCACGGTTTGCCCTGCGGAGTGACTTTGTCAACATGACATGATCTTACTCACAAGAGGGGTTGAGAGGATGCCCTTTTACCAGCAGATTGACAACCAGGCATGCGCGCACGCACGCACAAACACACTTGTACACATGTGCTTACGTCTTTGAGACAGTTCACCTAAGCATTTAAAGCCATTTATAACCCACTACCCCCTTTAAACGTGACATGGTCTGGCTGTTCTTTTGAACGCTGACGCACTTCAGGCCCCTTCATCACGGGACATTCATTAAATTAACTCTCATTACACAATGACAATCATAAATCTGCCTCCCACCACAGTGATAGCAGATAAGACAACCTATAACAGAACACATAGGCAGCTCATTCCACTGTCCACTTCCTGCACGTCAACCAAACCGTGTGTAAATTTCATCATAACCGAAGGGCAAACATAGCAAAGGAAATTTCATATCCGTATGTCATCACCTTTTTTATGTTTTGAAGTAGCGCAAAAACAGGCATCAGGTGCTGAGCGCCGCAGTTTGGAGGCAGGTGGATGTTGGAAGACGTCTGTCCACTTTTAGGAGGCTGTGCTTCGACTGCACTTGGAGGGAAGGTCAGGAAAGTTCTCAGACTGATGAGTAAATGTCTGTTCTGATGGAGTCCAAGATCAAAGTAGTCTGCTGTCGTCTTCCCTCTTTACTGCAGTTCATGCAAAAGGTGTTGTGTAAATGTTTACACAACCTTTAGTTTTGCATTACATGGCTATCCAGGATTAGATATTACAGTGTTGTCAGAAGACTGCAGTGGAGCTGCTACAGCTAGCTGCTACTGCTATAGGAAAAAAAAAACAAGTAAAAACAATAAAATTAAATGACTTTGATGTAAAAGTTTGTAAAATACAATGAAGCCCTACAAAGTTCCACAGTTTGCCGACTCAGTCTTTTGAAGATATGTTCATGGAACATGGTTTGCAGTAATCCACATCATAATGGGGAAACCTGAAATACAGCACAGTAAGGAGCATCAGTTTTTTTTCTTGTTTGCTTTTTCATGAGTTTTCGAGCTAAATTTTAAGAACAATACAACTGACAAATTTTCTAACATAAATAATAACATAAATTCAGTTCCATAAAAAAAACAATACAGCTCAATACGTGACGCATCATGTCCTGTGCCCACACGCCGTCTGGAGCGCAGCATTACTATCGGGTAAGACATCTGTCAGAAATATTGTATGTGTAAGAGTGTAAATTTGTTAGTCTATAAACATACATAAATTAGTTACAACTTTGCCACATCACAAGTACGAGTCAAATTTACAAGTACAATTCTTTTACCTGTCAAAATAACAGACATTATGCATGGAACACCGAAAAGATCGATTGCAAACAGTAACTAAGCCAGACCACTAGGGGGACATGACCACTGCCTCATTTGGGACCAGATGAACTCTTTATAAACACAACAATTTGCTGAAGGGAAAAACATTTGGAGGCTTTTAAGTTTGTCATTCATGTCATGTAGTACAACAATAAAGTAGATAGTGGATTTATRAYGAACAACCAAAAAGGAAAACTGATGCATTCATAAAACCGACTGCATAATGGAAAAAATAATGCAAGTTCAAAAACACATAACGGTAGTGCTCTGACCCAGCCAGCAGGGGGACTCATGTTGCCCACCATCAAACCCCTAAACAACTGTAAGTTAAACTCTTTTTACTTTTAATAGTAGTTTGTATTATTTATTTCACATTTGGTACACGTAGTACTTGTCAGTATTTGTAAGAGGATGTGTTGAAACAGTTTCTTTGCTGAAAGTAGAGCTTCGTTGATTGCTGTTGTTAGCATGGTGTTAGCGTTAGCATTATGATATGAATAGGAAAGAAAAAACAGCCTCATGTTTTCTGTTCAGTCTAAGTTTATTTAGAATGGCTTGAAAAGAACAAAAACCTAATTGGCGTTAACTGTGAGTTTAAAAAGCTTTCTCTGACTGTATTTTGATATGTTTATTAAGACCTTGTTGGCTACATTTTTAAAGCTTTGTCAGAACTACACGGACATTGATTTTAATTAGAATCACCATAAATCAAAGTTAAACTGTGTTTAAATAAGTTAATCTATTTTTAACTACTACCAAACTACTTCCTTCAGATTTCAGTGACCAACATGTGTAGAAAAATGTTTGCTGTCTGATTAATGAGACTGCTGGCTGTGACTGTGTGATATTATAACTGTTCTTTTTAATTTACTTTTATTCAACATGGACCTGAACCTGTTTGTGGACCCACTGAGGACCTGTCTCCAGACCTTTGTATCAGAGCAGGACTGAGACCATCAGGCTCCATCAGTGAGACTACAACCAGTGGAAGCCAATTCCACCCCACATCAGGTCAAATAGTTGTATTAGCAGTAATATCATAAACTTAATAGAAATAAAGTTAATATAATTCATCAAATAGTTAAAATAAATCAGTCCTGTTAACCTGTTGATTTTCTGTGATTCAGATAAGTGCAGGTGATGCAGCGAGCAGCATTCAGCCCATCCATGGACCCAGGACAGATGTCCTCTACATCCACGCCTACATCTGGCAGGCAGGTGGATGAGGAGGTGATGGAGTTCCTGACCATCTGAAGAACTGAGCCAGCAGCAGGATGAGGAGGTGATGGAGTTCCTGACCATCTGAAGAACTGAACCAGCAGCAGGATGAGGAGACACTGGAACAAAATCTGTCCATCAGGGTTTTAAAGCCTTCATGACAGCTGAAAAATTCAGTTAATGCAAATGTACAGTTTTAAAATGACCTGTTTAGAGCTGAGGAAGTCAAACACCAGGCCTTGGCATATTTTTTAAACTCAGGATGTTGGATCTGTTTATTTTAAAGCTTACCTGGAAGTTTTCATTTATTTGACATTGATTGATGGTTTTACTTTAATAAAAAAAATTTAAATATTCAACACTTTTGTTTTTACCTAACTATGAGCTGTGAGTGATAGATGAAACAATGGGCCTCATGCAAGAACATGTTCGTATTCTTATCCTAAATTTCTCTTACTTTTGTTCGTACAAAGGGTTTGTACGAACATGTCACGTCAGATTCAACAAACTCTTC